TGCTTTCAGCCAAGATCCATCTAACATCAGCAACAATATCCCTAGTACCACGACCCCTTCTAAACCCAGCCTGGACTTCTGGCAGTTCTCTGCTGATGTGTTGTTCTAATTGTTTTTGGATGATCTTCAGTAGAATCTTGCTTGCATGTGAAACCTTGCCTTTAAGAAGCAACTTGGTTTCACCCTCTGCAGGACAGACTTGTTTGTTTTCTTGGCAGTGCAGAATATGTTCAGTACTCTTCTCCAACACCACAACTCAAAAAAGTATCAATTCTTTTATTGTCATCCTTAGCCATTGCCCAGCTCTCAGACGCAAGATGTTGGATCAAGTGCAAGCTTGAAGCTTGATTTCTAGACTGACATCATTGCTCTTCAGCACTCTGGAAATTTCCCTAACAACAGACTTTCACAATGCAATTTGTCTTGATTTCCTGACTGCTGATGCCAATTGTAAGTGTAAATTGAGTGTAAATTGTGGACCTGAGTGAGAGGAAATTGTTAACAGTCTCAATTTCTTCTCCATCTATCATGGTGCTGTCAATTGGCCCAGTGGTGAGACTCTTTGTCTTCTTGATGCTGAGCTGCAATCCATATTGAGCACTGAAGTTTTAGACATTCTGTAGTAAATGCTTCAGGTCCTCCTAAGTTCAAGCAAACAACATCGTGTCACCCGCATAAGTGCAGGTTGTTGATGAGCGATCCTCCAATCCTGATACTGGTACCTGCCCAGAATGACATCATCAATGGAGAATAAAGAGGACAGGAATGGTCAGAGGCCTGGGCCATCATATCAGAGGTTGCTTAGGGGAAGGGGTCAGGGGAGTGCTGATAAGACAAGTTGAGGTCGGTGCTGGCAGGGCACAGTGTGGGGAATGGGACCACACACATTAAAGAGGCAGTCCAACAATTAATCTGTTAGCTGTATAATGGAGAAGTATCTTTGGTCTACTTTTTTGGGTAAAATACTTGTTTGTCAGGTATTATTTTTTTTAAATTTTTTATTCTATACTGGTTTACATACACAGTTCATAAAGTTCATATACCTTGTTTTTCACACCCGATCTTTCCCGTTTCCTTTACCAATCCCTCCCTCCACCCATTTAATTGTGTAACCCTATGTGTTTAAGCCTCTCACCTCCCGCCCCTCTGCTGCCTTGAATCCTTGCACATGCTCTACAATAATGGTCCTATATAGTATTTGTCTTTATGAGACTGAATTAGTTCACTTAGCATAATGCTCTCCAGTTCCTCCCATGTTAGGTAGTAATTTACAAAATCATGGTTCCGGTGTGCTTCATAGTATTTCATTGTGTGAATGTACTATAATTTCTCAATCCATTCCATTGTGGTTGGGTGTTTGGGCTGTTTCCATGTTCTTGCTATGGTGAATAATGCTGCTATGAACATTGGTGTGCAAGTCTCTGTTTGTGCCTCAGTTCTTATTTTCCCAGGGTATATTCCAAACAGTAGAATAGCTGGGTCATATGGAATTTCTATGTTCAGCTTTTTGAGGAAATGCCAAATTGCCTTCCAGAGC